GTACTTGTTTTCATGATGAGAGAGGAGATCTAACATTAATTCTCAACAACTGTTTCTCCTTTGAAAACAAAATATCCACAGACTTTGCTGAAAGGGAAAGCTCTCTGGGACCTGCACTTGCCATCTTCCAACTGGACAGTGGAAGACGTTGCCCGTTTCCTGTCAAACCATCCAGAGGACTTTGAGATGGCAAATGACTCAGTATATACCTGGGTGGATGCCTTCAATGAGACAGACCGGGCTATCCAGACCATCTCCCGCTTCATGGAGGTGAGAAACTGCTAGTGTAGGCAAGGAGCTGGGGGCTGGCAGCAGTTTGGTCTCCACTCATGTGGTGGGATGTTCCTGGAAAGGGCAGACAGATGTTACTCAGCCCATTTAGTTCCTCAGACCAGGCTTTAGTAGGACTTAGCGCCCAGCATGTTAGAAAATACCATTTATTCAGGTACCTAAACACAGATGTAGGAACCGAACTGAAGGCCTTGTTCATGAAGCTCTTGCTTTGGACATTGCATGTGGTTTCCCACCCTGTTCTTACTGGACGACTGAGAGCTGCTGCTTGCTTTGGCAGTGTAACAGCTCAGATTTTCATCTGGGGTTTTAGCTGGGGACTGCAGTGAGGCTAGCAGCTGCTTTAAGCTAAGGGAGACCTAGAAAATAATGAAATTTGTTCTTCTTGTTACTTGGCCATGTTGACATATGGGTGCATACAGAAACAGACCTTGGCTTGTCAGGGGCCTGGTCCAAAGCCTTCAGGTCTCTCTGCTGATTTTGAGAGGCTTTGAATCAAACCTAGTTTATTGGCAACAGAGAAAGTAAGACTATGGAAATAGATGCTTGGATGGGATCCTATAGCTAGTATTACAGTGCTACCTAATCTTTTGTCCAGAAAATAGCTTTGCTGGGGTATTTGTCAGTGATATATGTTTGACTGGTAGGTCACCATGAAGCAGGAAAAAAATCGCATCTCTAGCTACTTGATGGGCTACCGTGAGCCATTGCAAAGTAATCTAGTGCTGCAGCCTTTTCTTGAGCATGGCATTACCATTGCAGCGTTCTCCTTTTTTTTCTCACTCTCAAACGTAAGCAAAGTACATTCTAGTTTGGTAATTTATCCCGTGAATGCTTCCAAATCTGTCCCTGTCTAGTGTGTCAACTTGGACAAACTGGAGCCTGTGGCCACAGAAGTCCGGCTCATAAACAAGTCATTGGAGCTTCTGGATGAAAGGAGATTCTGGGCTGGCATAGTCTTCACAGAAATAGCTCCTAACAGCATAGAGCTCCCTCAACATGTGAAATACAAGATACGCATGGACATTGATAATGTGGAAAGGACCAACAAGATCAAGGATGGGTGAGTCCTGACATGCTACCTTATGAACAGTTTCTTATGGGGGATGCAGTAATGAGGATTTCTAATGGAAAGGGCTTGTTCTTTTGATGCAGGTACTGGGATCCTGGTCCCCGTGCTGATCCCTTTGAGGACATGCGCTATGTTTGGGGAGGCTTTGCCTACCTGCAGGATGTGGTGGAACAGGCCATCATCAGGGTGCAGACTGGCACAGAGAAGAAGACAGGAGTTTATGTGCAGCAGATGCCCTATCCCTGTTACGTGGATGACATGTATGTATGAAGGCTGCTTCAGAAGCTCCGGGGAGGATTGTGGCTTGGGAGACATAGGCTCTTGTCACTCCTCGGGCATGGAGAATTTAGAATGTGTATTGACTAGCAGAGTCTTTCCCAGGAAAAGGACTGTCTGTATGGGACATTCATATACAGAGTGCATTCCTGAGATATGCCCATATCTCCAAACCTGATACAGACAAAAACAGCACTGGGGAAAAAAGCAGAGACCTAGACACAGGAGAATGTAAAGAGGACAGTTGAGAGCAGTCCCCAGGAAAGGCAGGTCTCTGCATTTGCTCTTCCACTGAGTGGCAGTTGCAACTCCAGCTCCCACTCTGGGCTGGTGCTGTGCTTTAGACCCATCAGCCTCACCTCATGGTGAGACACTGCTCCTGTGTCATGCTCTGCTCATGGGCTGCTTTGTGTAATGAAGCCTTAGCTGTCACTGTGCTCTGCTAGCCCTTGAATGGTACCTGAAGTTGCACTGACGTTTCTCTGTCCTCCTGGCTCCTTTCCTTCCATCTCTCAGATTTCTGCGTGTCATGAGCCGCTCCATGCCTCTCTTCATGACTCTAGCCTGGATCTACTCAGTGGCTGTGATAATTAAGGGCATTGTGTATGAGAAGGAAGCCCGGCTGAAGGAAACGATGAGGATAATGGGACTTGACAATGGTATCCTCTGGCTAAGCTGGTTCATTAGCAGCCTCATCCCTCTCCTGATGAGTGCAGGCCTGCTGGTGCTGATTCTTAAGGTGAGTTTGGTCTGTGGCAGCAGAATCTAGAGCCTTAACAGCCTGCTAAGCAGTGCTCTGCACTTGCACACTGAGGAGGAGTTAGTGAGTGTGGGTTGAGAGATCCTTTTTTGGAACAAAACAGGCCTGAGTGGCTGAAAGCAGCGGGAGGGGCTGTAGTAGATTCAGTGCTCTTGAAAAGGTACTGCCACACTTCTGTGAAGACTGTTGGGCTAATTGCAGCAAGCCCAGCCTCCCCTGAGCAGCAGCTCTGCAGACCTGCCTGTACTAGAACCATGTTGGAGAGCCCTTTTAAATCCTGATGCACCTGTTGTTTTCCTGCCAGATGGGGAATCTGCTGCCTTACAGTGACCCGAGCGTGGTGTTTGTTTTCCTCTTGATCTTCGGTGTTGTGACCATCCTCCAGTGCTTCCTCATCAGCACCGTGTTCTCCAGGGCCAACCTGGCAGCTGCCTGTGGGGGCATTGTCTATTTCACGCTGTACCTGCCTTATGTGCTGTGTGTTGCCTGGCAGGACTATGTCAGCTTCTCACTAAAGATCTTTGCGGTGAGTCCTGAGGAAGCTATCTTTGATACTGGGCCTCCACCAGTATGGCATTCAGCAGTTCTCTAGCTGGACACTGATAATGGGAGAGGGAGGTGGAAATGGGAGTATAATTTTCCAGTGTAAGAAGCTGTCAGGGCTGGGCTTGGTGAAGGGGTTGACTGAACCTGCTAGGAGCTGCTAGGAAGGTTTTGTTGGCTTTGGTAGTAGAAGTAACACAGCCAGCCTAAGCTGCCTTGATCTCTGTATGCTGTGATGCTGTACCACCAGATACGCACGCTAAAGGAACTAGCTGCCTTTCCTCTGGACAGCACAGCACTTCTTACCTGCCTAGAGAGGGTGGCTGTTAGTGATCTCTTCCCTCACATAAAAAGTCCAAAGAGCAAGGGAAAGAAAATAGGGAAACACAATTCTGAATAGTTGACCACCAGAGACTTCAGGCCTTGTGTGCTTGTTGGAAATATGGTCATGCTCCTGGAACCTTTGACTTTTCTTGTAGGGCTTCTGGACCATGTCCTTTAGCTTTGTGCTAGAGCTGAGCTGCCTGGTTGGAAAGTAGTTATGAAAAACTAAATGCATGTTCATGCCTCTCATTTGCAGAGCCTGCTGTCTCCAGTCGCCTTTGGCTTTGGTTGTGAGTACTTTGCCCTGTTTGAGGAGCAGGGAGTTGGTGTTCAGTGGGACAACTTCTTTGAGAGCCCATTGGAAGAAGATAGCTTTAGCATCACCACATCTGCTGTCATGATGTTATTTGACACCTTCCTGTATGGGGTCATGACATGGTACATTGAGTCTGTCTTCCCAGGTGAGATCTGCTTCTGAGGGAGGATCATGTCTTCACACTTTTAAATGGATCTTTTAACCCTACTCATTTGCCAAGGTGAAAATTTGGCCCACTTTTAAGCAGAGCTGCAGAAAGGTCATGGAGGAAAGCCACAGACCAGCATCACAGTAAGGTCATTGCTGCTAATAGCAGTGACTGTTGCCCAGCACAGAGGCTGTGTGTGTGCCCCATTGTGTGCTGATGGCTGAGCTAGTCCCAGAAGCTTTGCTGCACTACAGCTGTTCCCTTCTCTGAACTGCTAAGTCCCCAGACCCTGCTGCAGGGGAGGAGTTGAGAGTATCAGCATCACATGTGGCTGCTTAGCATCTTCCAGCACAGGGCTTTTAACCCAAAAGTGAAGTTTTAGGAAAGAGATGTCTCTTACCACCAATGTCTGGCAATGTTTTCATCATGAAAGATTTCTTCTTAGTCCTGCCTAACCTGGAGGCTTAGTAGGGGTGGAGTATTTTTCTTCTTGTCCTGAAAGCTAGTATGAGAAAAGGGACAGAATACAGTCAGGCTCATGTAATGCTTTTCTCTTTAGGCCAGTATGGGATTCCCAGGCCCTGGTACTTTCCTTTCACAAAATCCTATTGGTTTGGCGAGGAACCACAGGACAGGCAGCACCCTCATCCTGACCAGAAGGGGCCTTCAGAAGGTAAGTACTGGACACAGAGCCTTTCTGCAGTGAAGTGTTATGGTCTGCCTTTTTGAGAGGAGAGTGCAAGAACAGCAGGACTGGCATGACTAAGGTGAAATTGGTCATCCCTTTGTTTATCACAGTTTGAGTATGATGATCAGGTGGGTATATCTGGATAAACCCAAGGTACTTTGCCTGGTTGAGTGCAGGTGGGTACTCCAGCCTTATGGAGTATTGAGAATTTCTCCCATTTTTGCTGACCCTGGTGACACTGGAGATCTCCAGCTCCCAGATGAGCCCAGTGGAGAGAAAAGAGCTAAGGGACAGCTTCTGTGGAAGTTTCTGTCCCTGAGAAAGAAATGTGGTCAGTTCTTATAGCTCATTTCTCCTTGGATCTCCACAGGCTCGGAGAAGTGTGATGTTAGAACTCCCACACAGTTGCTGTTAAAACCCATCACGTCTCTACTTTGCTCTGTTTTCTTCCAGTCTGCAAGGAGGAAGAGCCTATGCATCTGAGCCTTGGTGTTTCCATCCAGAACCTGGTCAAGGTTTATCGTGACGGCAAGAAAGTTGCTGTAGATGGTCTCACACTGAACTTCTATGAAGGACAAATCACCTCCTTTCTGGGACATAATGGAGCAGGGAAGACCACTACCATGTAAGAACAAAATGGTGCTTTAAGACAGTGGGAGAAGTTACTCTGAATACTACAGTTGCTATCAATATGGCAGAGGTAGCTGTACAACTGCAGTGTGCAAGCTTGTGCAGACTAGGGTGCTCCATTGCTTTCAGTGGAGCTCTGCTGATTTACCCTAGTTTTGCAGCTGCCTCAGAAGGTGCACAGATACAGGGGACTGAAACTGGAGGTAGTTCAGGTTGAGACTGTGCCCAATGAATCTTCTGGCAGCAATTTTTAGTAATGCCATTTGTGATTCTGACTTACCAGTGTAAAGAAATGAGTTGGGACTGAGAAGATGAGAAGCTTTTAGAGGGAAAAAAATATTTCCTTCAAGCAGAGTCATGTGGGTGTGCTTTGATCACTGTTAAAACCATTGGAGCAGATTTTTTTTAATCCATTAGTGAGCTGTTTCTCAGACTACTTCCCTGATGTGAGAGTTCCCCAGGGCTTCCACCCACTCTTCATTCATCCATCCTGGCATGGGTAGCAGCCATTTCCCAGTGGTGCAACTTGCTTATCCGTTGTGTTTGTCCTGCAGGTCCATCTTGACTGGCTTGTTCCCCCCAACCTCGGGTACAGCCTTCATCCTGGGCAAAGATATCCGCTCTGAGCTCAGCACCATCAGGCAGAACCTGGGTGTCTGTCCGCAACACAATGTGCTGTTTGACTCGTGAGTAGCATCTGTGAGACACGGGGCTGGTGTTATCCACCAGAGGTTTGGGTTCTTTAGAAGACAGTAGTGTGCTTTCAGCTAGGACGGTCCTGTCTTTATCTGTGTGCATGGTGTGAGACAGCAAGGTGATATGAGATTGGCACAAGGACATTCTGTTTATTAGCACATTCATATGTGAATTATCAAAGAACTCACACTTTCGTCTTCCACCTCTCTGAAGAAGTCTACTCCATTAAATTTAACTAGGCCAAATGTTTCCCCAGTGCCTAGTGAGTTGGGATGTTTGGGGTACTCTATCAAGCACCCTTAAAGGACCATTACTTACATTGGTGCTGAATAGCCACACCCTGAAATGAGTATTAAGCCCAGCCCACCCAACTCCTTCCTGAAACCCTGGCCTTAAAGGAGAGTTTTCTTGAGCAAGCAAACGTGCTTGCTGCAATGCTAGGGCAAGGGATGAATCCCAGTATGGTGCTCTCAGCTGTGTGCTGAGTCTGCTCCTGTTCCCTAGGCTGACTGTGGAGGAGCACATCTGGTTCTACGCTCGGCTCAAAGGACTTCCAGAAAAGAAGGTGAAAGAGGAGATGGAGCAGATGGCAATAGATGTCGGTTTGCCTCACAAACTGAAATCGAGGACAAGCAAACTCTCTGGTAGGTTTAGCTGCTCTTATATTTCTCAGCTGCTTCCTCAGCCCTGAAGAACTCTATTTGGTTTCACAGAGGCTGCATCATGGACCTTGGTTGGATCCTCTAGTTAAATACAGACTACCACACAATTAAGCACTTAAGGAAATCGGTTATTTCTTAAGTACCTAATCAGTCCATGTTGTGCTATCTAATAGCCATAACAAACCACTCACTCACTCTGAGTATTTTGTACTTGTTTCCATCAGAACATAGTCCAGTCCACATGTGATATGCATTCTCTGAATGCTTACTGATATGTTTGGGTTTGATGGGTTTAGGTGAGAGTGGGTCTGACCATAAGCTCCAAGTCCCTTACTGCTTGTGAACCATATGTGCATTTCTTAGCTGACTTCTTCTTCCTCAGTTGGGGTCCTGGAGTGTCCTTCTTCTTTGTTCAGGAACAGCAAGATTCCCGTACATCTGTACGAGATAGTTAAGGAACCAAGACTCCTTTGTTTCTGACTCAACTATCAGCACAGACTGCGCATTTTACCTTGGGAAGGGAGAGCAGGTGGCCACAGGTTGGCTTTAATATTGAAGAGCGTAATATAATTCCTTGCAGCTGCCTCTGGCACCCTTCCACAGGAGGGGTGTTTCTTGGGGAGCTATTTCTGCAGCTCAGGCTCTGGAGAGACCTGTGCTCCAGATCATCAAATATGGTTAGGCCTCCAAGCTGGCAACTTGTTGCTGCCAGTGTTGAGATAGTATGAGTCACTTATGGTAGGGCTTGCAAGGTATGGTTTCCTGCAGTAGAAGGAGAGTTGGACTCCACTGAGGGAATACCATCCAGATGAATTATCCCTTGTCCTAAAGGTGATGGGACCCTGAAGGCCTGAAATAGTAGCAGTGCTTTATCTTCTCAGTATGCAGTTCTGCTTTCTCTTGGAGACCTCGTTGTCCACTATGCTGCAGCTATTGCTGTTCCCCTTATCTTTGCCTCAGCCTGATCAAGTCTTTCTTCTTGTGCCTGTCAGGTGGCATGCAGAGGAAGCTCTCAGTTGCCTTAGCCTTTGTTGGTGGCTCCAAGGTTGTCATTCTGGATGAGCCCACAGCTGGCGTGGATCCTTATTCTCGCAGAGGGATATGGGAATTGCTCCTGAAGTATCGGCAAGGTATATGGTCTTTTTCTCTACTCCTAATGAATGCATCATGGAAAGCAAAAAAAACCAAAAAAACCCAAAAATTTAAAAAAATCAATCTGATTCATGACCGTTCCTAAAATAGCACGGTGTCTTTGCAAATCTATTGTTGCCTGCACTGAGGAAGAACAAAGAGCATGCAGGGCAAGGATGTTCTGATCACCCATCTGTCCTCCTTTCTCATCCTATTCATGTCAGAGATCATGAACAAAGTGCCTCACTGGCTTGTGAAGGCAGTTAAAGTGAGAAATTCACCCTTGGTGTGCAGCAGTATCCTGTTCTGCTCTGTGCAGCCAGCCTTGCTGGCATGAAATTAACTTGCCTTTGCTAGCATGACAAGGACCTGCAGAGAGTGGGGAGAATAAACCCATAACAGCAGTTGTGGATCTTTCTGCACTGCTAGCCTCGTTCAGAGGAGCTTGGACTTGTGGCATCAACCTCCCATTTAACTTCATGGCAAGATCCAAATGATTGTGGCTTTAGCTTGGGAACATAGGTATGGTGGTCTTGACAGCAGTGTCTTCCCTTGCTTTCTTCCAGGTCGCACTATCATTCTCTCCACGCACCACATGGATGAGGCAGACATTCTAGGGGACCGAATTGCCATAATTTCTCATGGCAAGCTCTGCTGTGTTGGCTCTTCTCTCTTCCTGAAGAACCAGCTGGGAACAGGCTATTATTTAACCCTGGTCAAGAAGGATGTGGATTCCTCTCTGAGCTCCTGCCGAAACAGCAGCAGCACAGTGTCCTATCTGAAAAAGGTACAGTTGACCCTTCCTTTTCTTCCTTCATGGAATCCTAGGCTTATGGGAAGTAGCAGCTAAGGTTTTACATGGTAGAATGTCTTAAAGAGAAATCCTGTACTCTTAAAATAAGTGTAACTTGCTTTTATAGGTACTCTGCCAGATAATGTCTGGTTCAACTGTTGCATGGGATGTACATCTCCGTTAGTCTCTTTCAATACTGGTGGTCCAAAGCTGATTGGAGAGATAGAGAATATATGAAGTGCATACTCTTGTAACACTACTTCTTTAACTGTGACCTCTTGTATTCCAGCCCTTTGCGGTGGTATGTCACCATTACTTTGACTCTGTGGAGTATCCAGAATGTTGCAGCATCTGGTTGGAGTTAACTATACCATAGCATCTGGTGGGCCCCTTTTTGATTAAACAGCAGGAAACAATGGTTGTTTTCTCTTTTGTGACCAGGATGACAGTGTCTCCCAGAGCAGCTCTGATGCTGGCCTTGGCAGTGACCATGAAAGTGATACACTGACAATAGGTGAGGCTTGGAAAGAAATGTAAGATTCAGTCCCAGTGCTGACATTGCTCTGACTTTGACCTTGAACAACTGCCTTGACCTTGTGCCCCTGTGTAGTTACAGTCTTGGGACAACTGTTAAATTCACAGAGATAGTATTTTTAAATTTGTAAATATTGGAACATTTTTCTTTAGTGAGCCATTTTGGGTTCAAGTTGTCCTGAGTTTTAATAACCAAAGATTATATAGTTGCTAGGCCTGTTAGCAATATGTAATGTTTGGCAGTGAACTGTATATCAGTGATTTGCAGGGCTGCCAGTAGCATGTAAAAGCTCTCCCAAATTCTGCAAACAAAAAGAATAGCCAGGCTTGGGTCCAGGCTTTTGTCCAACCTCGTGTTAAATGTAAAAAGAAACCAGATTTTCCATGGAAATGAGCTGCTTTCCAGAGATGTTCCATTTTCCCTCCTTTCCTTCTGGTAAGCTTTTTCAGACTGGGCTCTTCTTTCCATGTAATGAGCAGTAACAAAATGAAATACCATCTTCTCATTTTGGTTCTTCTAGATGTCTCTGCAATTTCAAATCTGATTACAAAACATGTTCCTGAGGCCAGGCTGGTGGAAGACATTGGCCATGAATTAACCTATGTCTTGCCATACAAGGCTGCTAAAGAAGGAGCTTTTGTAGAGCTGTTCCATGAAATTGATGACCGTCTCTCTGATCTTGGCATTTCCAGCTACGGGATCTCTGAAACCACCTTGGAGGAGGTGAGTGAACTGAAGATTCTCTTTTGACTTAAACTAGGCAAAATGAATCATGGCAGAAATAAGAACAAGATGGAGTCTCATCTCTTCCTGTAAACATTTATTGTGGACCAGGCAACTTTGTGTTCCCCTCCAAAATAGATTGTTTTCTGCTCTGTTTAAGTATGTTCTCATAGAGGCGTGCATTAAAAACTGAAATGTAGTACAGGCAAGCATAGACAGGTCCATTGTACTCAGTTGCACTTCACTTAGATGTCACGTGAAGGTTGTCCCCCAGTTTGGCTTCTCATGACTGTATGTCACTTATATACACTTAGATGTATGCCCTTGTCAGGGACGTTTTAGGGTGTATTCCAACTGACAAGTCTCTCTTTCTTTTATCACAGAAGTGTCATGCACTTTATCCCCTGTTTATGTGAAATGTCTTTTTTTTTTTTTTTTAATAGTGACAAGGGAAACTGAAACTGTGCTGTTGTCATTTATTGAAGTTGCCTTCTAAGTCCTCCCACAGCTGTGAAGGTCTTGGCTGCTATCTGCAGTTGGAAAATGTTTTTTTTTTTTCTTGTTTAGGAATGTTCATGGGACAAGCTCCACAAAGGTGCCTGTTCAAGTGTGAACAGGAGTGTAAAACTAGAGGAAGATGAGATTCCCCAAATTTAGTAATGAGGTTTTCATCTGAGACATAAGAAAGAGCTTGTGTTTGGAATGCATTGAGGACTGGCATTGGAAAGGGCAGCCAGCTGCTATGTGGTTACAGGTTGGCTCCTGAAAGCTGGAGAGAAGCCACAAAGTCCATGTCCGCATCATGCAGGGGATGTACCCTGTATCCTCTGTTCTCATGCTGCATCTGTCAGTCTTGTGCTCTCTCATGATACCTCCTGAAACAGTCCTCACAGGATCACTCACTTTCTAATTTTCACTGACCCTTGTTGTTGCTTTTCAGATCTTCCTGAAAGTGGCTGATGATAGCGGTGTGGATGCAGAAACCTCAGGTAGGTGCAGTTGTCTTCTATAGTGTTGAAGGAGGAAGTACCCTTTCGTATGGTATTTGTGCTAACCAAGCATAGCTATTTCAGGAGTAAAATCTCCATGCAGGGTTTAGCTCCCACTAGAAGAAAAGGGTCTAGTGGGTATCTCAGATGAGGAGCATTTGAGCGTTCCTGGTCTTACCAGCCTTGGATAGGTGAGTGACCTTTGTGTACAGCAGCATGTCCTGGTATACAGTGACACATGCCAAGATGTAACAGGAACTAAAATAACTGTTCTTAGTATATTTAACACATACTGTTAACTTTTGTTGACTAAGTGGTAGCATATTTATTTTGTAATAGTGGAGGTTTCTTGTGTTTGCGTGTATTGTGAATTAATTGACTGACACTATTATCTACTCTGAGGAACAGGACAAAAGTCTTGACAGGGTCAGGTCTCAGTTGGGACCAAATGACTCTCTCTTTCTGAGAGCAGCTCACTGCACTAAGTTCTTGTGCCAGCATTTCCTGATAAAGTAGTACTAGCAAATTGTACTTGGAGTCACATGCATATAAGTGAGAATTTTCTTATAGTGAGAGCAGCCTGCAGTTTCCATGGCTAAATAAAAAAAAGAAAAGCATCAAGTGTACTGGAAAAGCTTCTAAAACAGCACACCAAAAATGATGCATAAAACATATGACCCTTGCAGAGTGATAGTCTTGGTTTTACCTGCACTGGAGTCACTCCAGATCAGCTCCTCAGTTTGCAAATGGAAGACATGTAAAATAAAAATGATACTACTTTGTTTTTTCTGGGGCTAATTGGAGATAAATTGAAGCAGTTCAGCTAATACCAACTGCATTATTTTCAGATGGGACATTGCCAGCCAGAAGGAACAGACGTGTGTTTGGAGACAGACAGAGCTGCCTCCGTCCATTTACAGAAGACGATGCATTTGATCCTAATGATTCAGACGTAGATCCAGGTATTGCTGGGACTCAAGCCTGTTTTCTTCTTGTGGACATCTTTCATATTATAAATACTGTGGATCATAAGGCTGAAGATTGCTAAAGGAGTGGTGGTTTATTTGCCTTTAGGAATAGTGGGCAGTGCTGTATACACTGCCTGCTCCCATCACAACTCAGAGAGATAAGGGTGAAAATGCGTTAATGTGAATTTCTGTTGCTCTCTCTGCTTACAACTATCTTTTTTTTTTCTTGATGAGTGAGAGTAGCTGCTCCAGCCATCACCCTGTGTCTCCAGCACAGAAGTGTCCAGGGAACACCTCTGTGAACTTTTGAATGAGGGTAATTTCTTCTTACTAGCAGAATCCAGAGAGACAGACCTTCTCAGTGGCATGGATGGGAAAGGATCCTACCAGATGAAGGGCTGGAAGCTCACCCAGCAGCAGTTCATGGCTCTGTTGTGGAAGAGACTGCTTATTGCTAAGAGAAGCCGGAAGGGCTTCTTTGCTCAGGTGAGAGCACCCAACATGTGCAGGGTCCCTCAACAGGGACAGCTCTGGACCATGCATTGTATTCAGAGTTGAAGGTGGGCAGAAAACCTCAAGGCAATGTGGATAACCCAACACTGGTCTTCACTGCACATCTGGGCAAAAGGGGGCCTATGCAAGTAGAAGGAGTTAAATGATAACCAAGTGGTTACAGTGTTCTTGCACAGCAAGGATGCAACTCGGGTTCAAATCCAAATTTGGCCTTGAGAACAGCATTTGGAGGCTGAATGCTCTGCACCCCAAGTGAGTGTCCTGACTGAATGCCAGGATAGGTCTTGTGTTGGTGACTAGCAATGCCTTGGTGTAAATAGTAAAGGCCTTCCTGGGAAACTTTGAAAAAGTTTTGATCCATTAAGTAGCTCATATGTAGCTCCTGATGCTTCTGGGAACATTTGCTTTAAAAAGGGCTTACTCTTTCCTTGCAATTTCAGATTGTGCTGCCAGCTGTCTTTGTGTGTATTGCTCTCATGTTCAGCCTGATCGTTCCTCCCTTTGGGAAGTATCCAAGCCTGGAACTACAGCCCTGGATGTATGATGAGCAGTACACTTTTATTAGGTATGTTTCTTTTGGCGTAGGAATGGTGCTAAATCCTACAATTCAATTTCTCTCTGAAAATGTAAGTTACTGAGTTCCTTACCAGGTTGTTCAAATTTGTTTATCTCAGAAGCACATTCAATAGAGTATTTCTGTTTTCTTTTTAGACCTTTAAATGCCAACTCTAATTACTGGCAAGGCCGCATCCATTTCTCAATGGTGCTATGACTCTAATGATACTATGCACAAAGGCCAGGAGTGTGTGTGTGCTCCTAGGCCAAGCATTCCTCAGAGGGAAATCTCCACCCATATCCTTTTCCTGAGCTCTTTCACTGTGCTCTCAGCCTTGCTCTGCTGCTGCTTTTACTGTGTTCTTGTTCTCCAACTGACCCGATTGTGTTTCTCTGCTGTACCCATAGCAATGATGCTCCAGAAGATGCAGGCACTCAGAGGCTTTTGGACGCCCTTCTTAATAAGCCTGGTTTTGGGACACGCTGTATGCAGGGACACTCCATCCCGTAAGTAGGACTCTGGACTGGGAAGAGGAAGGCCAACCCTGGCTTCTGGTCACCCAGTAGATTTGGCTGGCTTTAGGGAATGATAGTCATGCATGACCAGAGCAGGATTTAAAGCAAAAAGAGTTGCAATTGCATTCAATTTTTCTGCTTCAGACCTTTTAGTAAGTTACCAGCCTGAAACATGATGAGGGAGTGAGGTCTGAGTGCAAGTCCTTACTGACAGAGATGGAAAGGAGACAGTAGTCTCTCCCTTAAGTTACTGTTTGGTCCTGGACATGGAAAAGGATCTAGTCATGTTGCTGTACATTATTGACTGTAGCTATTCTCATTCCACAATCCTCTGTTTCCAGCTGCACTAGAAACCTAGGTTAGTACCTCTGCAAACACAAGCAGAAAGAGTGGAGAGCCAGACAGCATTGGTGGTGTTTCCTGACTCTCCACTGACTTGCTGCGTGGCCTTGGGCAAATAACTGAAGATCTGGACTGTGAGTGCAGAAGGGGTATATGGAGTCCAGGATGGTGTGTCTCTAGCTCATGTTCACAGGATGATAGGGAGTGGGGCAAGGGGCCCTGTGTGCTGGCCAGTGGTGGAAAGTAAGGAGTATCCTGAAAAACAGACACAGGAACTGAGTTACCCCACCCATGGTGCATGGAAAGGAGGCTGCCCTGGGTAAGAGCAGTATTCTGCTGCCGAAAGGACAGAAATGTCATCCAAGAAATTACTGTCTGCTGTGATCTTAGAATCATAGAATTTCTCAAGTTGGAAGAGACTCATAAGGATCATTGAGTCCAACTCCCTGCTCTTTGCAGGACTACTTAAAACTAAACCATATGACTAAGAGCATCATCCATATGCTCCTTGAACTCTGGGCACTGTGCATGGTGGGACTGGCTAAAATAAAGTGCTCGCGTGCTGTGAAGCAGTTGAGAAGAAGGGATGGTCTGGCACTACTTGGTGTTGGCCAGCCTCAGTCTCTTTGGCACTGGGATCTGTTAGAAGCTGCAGCGCCTGGTCTGTTGCTTTGACCAGTGTCATCAGGCTTCTTTGAAAAACAGCCTGCCTCTTCTGGCAACTGTGGTGTCTGTTATTTAAATGGCTTGTAAGGAAAGGCCATCATTATTATTTTTAAAACTGCGTTTACCTCGCCTCTTTCCTGACACAGAGACACTCCTTGCACCATGGGGCAGAGGGAATGGACTACCGCTTCAGTCCCAGACTCAGTCCTGGACATCTTCTTGAAGGGCAACTGGAGCATGGAGAACCCTTCACCGTCTTGTGAATGCAGCAATGAGAAGATCAAGAAGATGCTGCCTGTGTGCCCCCCTGGTGCAGGCGGGCTGCCACCCCCACAGGTAGGAGGGAGCTCAGTGGTGCTGCAGTGATGGATGCTCCTGAGAGCAGAGCGGCTAGGTGTGATTCTTGTGTGCAGCACAGCACACAGTTTGTTTTACTCAGCATCTGCATTTTCTGATGAGCGTTTGTCTGTGTCTTCCCCGGTGATGCCAGCGTGAGCAAGACACTGCTGACATCCTCCAGAATCTGACAGGCCGCAACATATCGGACTACCTAGTGAAGACCTACGTGCAGATCATTGGGAAAAGGTAGCTGTTAAACACACCCTCTCCCCTCCCTCACCACCAAATGCTGCTTGCTATATGGGTGACGCTGCACAGGTGAAGCAAATTGGCCTGGACAACCCAAATTCTTCAGCAGCTGGCCAGACCCACTCAACTCCTCAGCCTGTCCTCATCCACAGCTCAAGTGGTATTTCTTCTCTGTCAGTGCTGCTGTGGCAACTCTGAATTGGGGGTGTCCTTAGCCTTGTAGGCAGAGTATGGGGAAAAGTCAGGGCACCAATCCTAGGGATTACACTGAAGAGGAGTGGTTGGGACATATGCCAGATGTGTGAGGCTGTCACACTCTTTTCCCTGGCCACATGCCTGCAGCACTGGTAGGTCTGTCTCTCCTCTTCTTCCACATATTATACATTGGCTTTCCTTTCTGTCTCTACAGCTTAAAGAATAAGATCTGGGTGAATGAGTTCAGGTGAGTTACTGCCTTTTCTCTAGCTTGTATGTGTCCGCTACCCCTTGAGCACTGTATTAAACAGGGTAGACCCACCTTGCTTTGCAGGTTGGGGTTTTTTTTTTTTCATGTGACTCTAAACTGCTGAATGTTGAGGGAGCATGTTTAAGGATAAACTGGGACAACCCCAGAGCACATCACTGGAAAGCATGCCTGCCTTATGTGGAGAGCAGGGTTGACTTGAAAAGATTTTCAGGACCAGCTTATTGATATTCCATCATGGGATGTGTTATTCTTTCAAGCAAGGGAAGCAGGAAGATGTCCTGCTTTGCCTGTGCTGGCAGCAGAGGGTAGCTGTATTTATTAAATGGAACAGCACACTGAGAAGTGAGATGGGTATATAACCCCAGAAACAAGGAGTAGGAGACATCATGGCTAAGCAGCAGTGTAGGAAGATCAAAGTAATTCCTTCATGTAAGAGTGGAGACACTTGCCGTGGCATAGTACAGGAAGAGAGGACATCTAGGGAGGGAGTGGCATTTTCTGAAGGTAAGTGAGTAATCAGGTCTTAGCATCACTTTCTATCTGAACTTTCAGGTATGGTGGCTTTTCCTTGGGAGCCAGCAGTTCCCTCATGCTTCCTCCAAACCATGAAGTCACTGATGCCATTAAACAGGTGAAGAAAATCTTGGAGCTAGCACAGGTGAGCAGCTGTGCCCCATAAACCCAGGGTGCACTCAAGTCAGAGTCCTGTTACTTGGAGGATGACTTAAAAAACAGAAAATGAGGAGCACATGTATGTTACCTGTGTCCAGTGGCTTCTCTCCATTGCCTCTGAGCTGGGGTCTCCTAGGTTGGTGTCTGGGAGCAGCAGAGGGCTTGGGGACACGCACAGCTGAGGCTTACGCAGCCCGCATTGCTGGTGTGGGCTCTGCCCAGTTGCCACCAGTTGCAAGCCAGTGGAAATTACAGACACCTCTGAGTGTTTTGTGCTAGGACAAGGGTGGGCTGTCTCAGGGAATAAACAAATGGTTGCTATCTCCTGTGATGAGTCTGCCTTGGCTCAGAAGAGAATTTGGGCCACTGCTTTCTTCTGAGACTGCCTGCGGGCTTCATCATCTCTGAAGATTGCCTGCAACACTGATTAATACTTATTGCTGGGAAAAAAGCGGGCCCAAGGCTGACCTCTTTTACTGGTGAGACTGCAGAAAGGAAAGGTGGGAAGCTGCAGTTTCTCAGCCTTCTTACCACCTCCAACTTGGTGGATACAGGCTGCAGAATGGAAAAACTGTCGGAGCTGTGAAAAACATAGTGTGACCCCCACTAGGCTCTGGGACAAGAATAAAGGTCTTCTCAGCAGGCAAGTAACTGTCTGTTTGCTGTTTGCAGGGGAGCTCTGGAGATCGGTTTCTCAACAGCTTGTCAAGTTTCATGAAAGGCCTGGATACAAAGAACAATGTCAAGGTAAATTAACCAATCCTCACTGCTGTGCCTGCTGTTTGAAGCTCTGGTAACTGGAGTTATTTTTAGTTATCGAGGTCCCCGCAGTTTTCCTTGGACAAATGTGCAGACCAGAGCTCTCTGTATTTGCTACTGGAGCAAAGGTGCTTATATTCTTGTGTGAATTTCCCAAAATTTGTTTGTCCTAAGTCCCAGAAGGTGTTTAGTGCTGGATCAGTGTTAGCTTCTAGCAGCCTCTTGTGGTTATTGATCAAACTGTTACATTCTGTCCTTAAGCAAACTGCCTTACAGGATGTGGAAAGATATTATATGCCTTCAACAGAGGAAGGGATATTCTGCAGGGCTCAGGAGCCTGTTGGGTAGCTGAGATACCTGGTGCCTTTCTGATGCTGATACGATCTCTTGTAGGTGTGGTTCAACAACAAGGGCTGGCATGCCATCGCCTCCTTCCTGAATGTGATCAACAATGCCATCCTTCGGGCCAGCCTGCAGCAGGACAAAAATCCTAGTGCTTATGGGATCACTGCTTTCAATCACCCACTGAACCTCACCAAGCAACAGCTCTCTGAAGTGGCCCTGTAAGTCCTGATGTGGATGTGGATGGGTTTGGGATCATCATCTGCTGATTACTGGAAAAAGGCAACGAGAGGTGTGAGCCTCGCTGGTGGACACTCAGTGGCCTGTGGCATTTAGAGTATAATCCGTTGGCCTTATTTTCTGTGGCCTGGGCAGGTAGCAACATTTGCTGTTGAGCACTTGCTGTTGAACAGCTTGCTGTGCAAGCTTTCTATGTCTCTGAGTCTCTAGAAATTGCAGTTTCTAAGAGTCAGTTTAATTTTCAGACCTGCTGCTTAGGAAATTCCTCTCAGCCTTATTCAGAAAGGCAGCTTGCAATGAATATGGTCATTCTTTTGTCCCAAGGTGCCACCGTTTGTCTAGGAACCATTGATAGATCCTGCTCAGTTTTGCCCACTGTCCCAACCTGTGGGGCACACAGTAATGCACAGGGCTTGCTGCACTGAGGCACTGACTAGTCCACTACTACTACAACCAGAATCAGAACTCATAAGCTACCTGCAGATACATCCTTCAAATCTTAGACCAGTAGCAGATGACAGTCAGATGCCTCTGAACTTTAAAACGACACAAAAAAAGACAATCTCCCAACAACCCCAAGAAATGGATTAAAGTGGGAAATAAAGTGGTGATGATAAGGAAGTCAGAAAGCAATCTGTTATGTTGAAGTTACCAACCAATCTCCAGATTGTGGTGCTGTCTTTGAGATGCCATCAGGCTGTGTATGTTCCCTTTGTTATGTGGCTGGAGAAAAACTGTGCAGTTAAGACAGCCTGATGTGATCATCCTTTACCCTGCAAAACAGGACAGCAGAAGGAGAAACGCTTTCTGCACTGTCTTGCATGAGCTGCCTCATTTCATCCCAAAGGAGCCAGCACCAGTATACAAACACTCGCTTTCTTCTTTTTTTTGTCCAGGATGACCACCTCCGTGGATGTCCTAGTCTCCATCTGTGTGATCTTTGCCATGTCCTTTGTTCCTGCCAGCTTTGTGGTCTTCCTTATCCAGGAACGTGTCAGCAAGGCTAAACACTTGCAGTTCATCAGTGGTGTCAAGCCTGTCATCTACTGGCTGGCCAACTTTGTCTGGGATATGGTAAAGGCTTTGTGACTGTGCTAAACTGTCCTTCATTCTGTGTTCGCAGAGTGTCTATTGCACTGAAGTGCAAAGTGCAGTTGGGGCCAGTGGGCACCACATTAATTTGGTGAATAACAACTGTGCCTATGACTTCTGTGTTTACTCTTTTAGGGCAGTAGTCCACCTGAGTGGGACAGGGAACATTGAACAGAGGATGGGAGGGCAACCATAAGCGAAATCACCAGCATTTATTATGTCACTTTAAATTACCTGCCCCAAAATGTTTGCTTGTGTAGCCCCTTTTTCTGCTCTGTTCAAAGCAGCTTTTTTCAACCTGTGGTGTCCAGAACCTCTGGATTGACTACTTTCAGAGGGATGAAGAAATGTAAATTCATGTGTACAACATAGGAGTGTCACATGTATGAACTACAAAGAGTCTCCCATTGGAAAAAGCTTTGGGAAGAGTGTTGAAAAGCATTGGTTCAGAGCAGAAAGACACCTTTCATTTTTTTGTCATCTGGAAACAAATCTAAAGCCATATTTTTCACCTTCCAGTGCAACTACATTGTTCCAGCCACACTAGTCATCATCATCTTCATCTGCTTCCAGCAGAAGTCCTATGTATCCTCCTCCAACTTGCCTGTACTGGCTCTCCTTCTGTTTCTCTATGGGTAAGGGATTTCTCATCAGAAGGATGACTAGGAAGGCTTTTAGACTTGGAAGGTGCTTACCTGATGTTGCTGCCTTTCATTTTGCCAGGTGGTCCATCACCCCTCTCATGTATCCAGCCTCCTTCGTGTTCAAAATCCCCAGCACAGCATATGTTGTGCTGACCAGCGTGAACCTCTTCATTGGCATCAATGGTAGTGTGGCCACCTTCGTCCTGGAGCTCTTCACCAACAACGTATGTTTGCCCAGAGCCTCCTCTCTGTCTGTGATCTAGTTCCATGTTGGTGCCATGCTTCCTTTAGCAGCCAGTTCTCCAGAAAGGCTAGCCCCTGGCCTGTACCCATATCCATTATAGCTGCTGCAGTGCTTTAAACACAGGTTCTGATAGAAATGGTTTAAAGCCCACCAACAATGATGACAGAATAGTCAAGGTGGGAAGGGACCTCCTGAGATTATCTAGTTCAGCGTCTGAGCAGGGCCAGCTAGAGCAGGTTGGTCAGGGCCATCAGTTTTTGAACATTTCCATGGATGGAGCCTCCATGGTCTTTCTGGGCAACCTCTTCCAGTTCTCAATCACCCTTAGGGTAAAAAAAAATATATATATTATGTTCAAATGGAATTTCCTGTTTCCTGTATGTTCATAAGGGGCAGTTTCTGCCTACTACAGGCCATTTCAAGTACTCAAGAATTTAGTTGCCCTCACTCAGTTTTGCCTCCTGTGGTAGATAGCTCTCTAACTGTACCTGGAACTCATTTCAGTTTTTCCAAAGCCAGATGCCTACTGGGAAGGTGCAAGTTGCTTTCATGCCTGTATGCAACACAAGGTATCTTAGCAGGCCCTGTTTGACCCACACTGGTGTGAAGTGTTCCTTGTGGGAGGAGGTTGAGGAGACCCTGTGGGAGTTACCTTTTGATTGTACCACTGTCTGTGGTACAAGGAGGCAGTCCTTGATGATGGTCCCTTTTGTTACAAGACCTGTTTTAGCTCAGTAAAAACATGTACATGCTTGAAGACAAGGGCCTGGTAAAACAGGAACCTCTCCTCAGGCTCCTGTCAGTCCACCCTTGGACTAAGCTAACTGGAAGACAACAAAGGGATGCCATCCAGAGGGACCTTGACAG